CCAGAGAGCTTGGAGTTCTACCTGACTTGTCATAAGCCATATGCTTGTCCTTCAGAGGAAGGAGTTTCAAAAATAACTATGCAATCCTCTTTTCCCTGCTCAGATCATAAGGTTTCGGTATTAGCAAAACCATTTGCACATAATTGGGTAGTTTGAACATGATTTATCAAGCTTATCAAACTGGAACCTTCTGTTCAGCCTGGAAACCTTGTTCTATAGCTTTCTAGGTGTGCTCTCCATTAGTCTCTTCCTCCCTACATCCCCCCTCTTAGTATTAATATCACCAATATTCTCCCTTTCTCCATGCCTATCCCTTCCACTTGGTGTAGGATATTCACTGAGTACCTGCTGTGTGCCAAATACTGTGCGAGAAGGCAGGCATAGTTTCTGGCTTTGTGATGCTACCATCAGAGGGTGAAGACAGACATTAAATAAGTAATTACCATAAAGCAGGACTGTAATCACCTATAAAGATCTCCCTGTTTCAAAGAAGTGAAAAGTAGCTCTTTCTTAAAAAGAGCTTAAGGACTCTCATCCAAAAGGAAGAAAAGTGACAGAAGACATCATTATCATTATAATAGCCTCATTCTTACCTCTACAATGGATGTATAATGGCAAAACCCAGCATTTCAAATTTCATAAAATAAAATATATGAATTTTCTTTAGTGCTGTCAACTTTTTCCTTCACTGAGGAAAAAAACATCAGAATGGCGTCTTTTAAAATGTATCTGATACACAAAAAAAGGGTATCTTCTAGAAGTGCATTAAAATAAGCATCACAAAGCCCTAGACTGTGTCACTAATCACACTGGAATGCACATAAAGGATTAAAATTCAGATTATTGATAGTTTAGTCTGGAGTGAGTGTTTGAGAGCTTTTGCTTATGTAATTAATGTAGATGCTGAATGTGTACGTCGTACGTGCTTGTCTACTCTTGAGCCATGTTACTTGACTTATGGCATAAATTTCACATCTAAGGATTATTATGCAGAGCATATCCAATACAAATAAGGATTTGTGTGCAAATTTTCATCCTCAAAGAACTTTGTGAGCATTAATTAATACATTCATGCCCATGTGGAAAGAGATGTGTTTTGTATCCCTATTTTTCAGATACTCAGGACTGTGTGTGCTTTATCTCAGGGCACTAAGGGACTCAGTGATGGAATTTGGGTCTCTAAGCATGTAAAATCCTTATCTTCAATTATTTTGAGTGTGAGCGTTTTTAAGTATGTCCCTCCCTCACTCTCTTTAATGTTCATTCTCTTTTCTTTCTCCTATTTTCTTTTCATACCAGTCTTAGAGACCAGCAGTTTGAAAACAAGTTATATTTGGAAGAAATCAGTAGCAGAAAAAGAAGTAAAATTGAAAAGAAAAAATATCTAGTTTGTAAATAATTCATACCAACTTATATGATACCTAACTTCCCTTCCCAGGATTTATTACTGTGTTATTAAAATGATAATATCAGCTCCCCTGTGTTGAGTGACTTATATGCCAGGCATTGTGTCAGACACCAAGGATAAAGTTCTTTTTTTTTTAATGGAGAACACAAGGTCCTTGCCTTTAAGAAATTTATAGTCTATTGGGGAAACAACCTTGAAATCAGGAAACTTTGATATACTTTGGTAAATGATATGATAGTTGGACTCACAGAGTGTGAAGACAGCCTGTAGAAGAAGTATTTGATCTAGTCTGAATTGGTGGTGGCAGGGTTCTTAGAGGAGATGAACCCTCCTATGAGGTGAATAAGAGTTATTAGGGTGAAGTGGGGAGAGGCACTCCAGGCTAGGGGGGCAGGGCAGCATGAGCCCAGCAGGAAGGTCTGACCCAGCATGTTGTGTATGTGTGTGGTGATCAGGGGTAGTCTAGGAGAAAGGCAGGTAGAGGAAGCAGCAAAATTCTTCCCTTTGTTCCAGCATATGATCAAGGCAAAGAGTGAAAGGAGTCAAATTTGGAACATAGAAGCCAACCCCATAACTAATAGGAAGCCATAATTTTTCTCTTGTGGCACCATTTTATCTACATTGTACACATTTTATGGAATGAAATTGCATTCCTGAATCTATTTTTCATAAAATTTGTTTCTCTCATTCGAGCCTCTAATGGCACCAGCAGCTGCAGTTTCTCAGGATGCCAAACGAGATAAGGATTTTTCTACCCAGTCATTTGTCTACAAATATTGATGTCTAGCACTGCACTAGGTGACAGGGAGCGAATGCTAACAAGATCACACTATCCTTAAAGGGCCCAGAACCATGGTGGGGAGGAAGCAAGAACCCCAGTGAACCTCCAACTCTGGAATACAAACTAGTAGAAGTATGCCTAAGGGGTGATGGGGCACAGAAGAGGGGTGTGTTAGTTGGTCGGGCTGCCATAACAAAATATCACAATTATGCCTTACCAGGTATAAATCTACTTTCCCACAGTCCTGAAGGCTGAAGTCCCAGATCAAGGTGTCGGCAGGGTTGGTTTCTCCTGAGGTCTCTCTCCTTGGCTTGTAGACGGCCACCTTCTCCCTGTGTCCTCACATGGCCTTTTCTCTGTGTGGCTTGTGTGGTGTCTCTTCCTCTTCTTATGAGGACACAAGTCATGTTGGATTAGGGCTCACCCTAATGACCTCATTTAAACTTAATCACCTCTTTAAAGGCCCTATCATCAAATACAGCCTCATTCTGAGGTGCTGGGGATTAGCGCTTCAGTACATGAATTCTGGGAGAACACAAGTCAACTCATAACAAGGGGTACTTAATAGCTTGGGGGCTGGGGGGAGAAGGATCAGGAAAGGCTTACAAGAAGAGATGTTTCCTAAAGTGAGCTAGGAAGATAAGTAGGAAGTAGACAGGCAGAGAAGAACATGAGAGTGTGGAGATTAGAAGACACATGCTAAGTGGAGTGGGATTGCTTCTAGGCTACAGGGTGCCTCTGTGCAAATGAGAAAAAGGTACCCATTCTGGGAAGATACAGCTCATGGACACCTGGCTTGGTAAGTAGAGATTGAGCTGGATATCGGCCCTCACATGTCCCCTGGGCCAGGAGTTCTTGTGCAGTGTACAATCTGTACAACCTTGGGTGGCAGTCTGAAAGAAGAAGAAGTAGCTTGGAAACCCAGAGGCAAGGGAGAGCGCAAAGTGTCCAAGGTCAGGTGGTGGGATGAGAGCATGTGAAGCAGTAGCGGAGGTAGGGTCAGAAAGGAATTGGGGGCCAGAACAAAAGGGAATTTTAAGCAGGCTGACTCTGACCTCTTGTGTCCCACCCACATTATCTCAGCCTACTTTTAACTCCAACCATTGCCACATTTGCTTTACTCAGGTATAACCTGACAGAACCATGTCTCAGCTTCTACCTGTCCCTTCCCCTTTGCATTTGGTGGCATCTCTGATGCCAAATAGGGTGCCTGCAGTGACCCATGTGGTCTTCAGTCATGTGCAACCTGGCAGTGACAATCCATGGGTCATGCTGAACCAATGTGTGATGAGAGTGGGAAACAAGTGTTCCTCTCCTAAACTGTGAGAGGATGACAAACCCATGGAGACAAGCCCCAGTTACACATGGGGGGTACCCTTTGGTATTGGCTCCCCCTCTTTCTCTATCTTATCTTCCCCAGTTTTCCATTCTTATTCCATAGGATCACTTCCCAAAACAAAGTTTCTTCCTGCTAGTCTTTATCTTAGGAGCTGCTTTCTGGGGCTATCCTGGGTGACACCTGTGACTGTACTATTTGGAGATATCGTTGAGAGTAAATGGAGGAAGCTATTATAGTAATGAATTACCCTGGAACAATAGGCATAAACCTGAAAGATACTAGGCTAATTGGGACATAAGATTAGTACTTTTGTTATCTTGTTTTTAAAATTAAGAAACAATTTATATACCGTAAAACCCATCTTTTCTTTGTGAACTTCAACAAATGTATTCAGTTGTGTAACCACCACACAGTCAAGATGTATAACAGTTCTGCCACCCCAAAAAATTCTCCTGTGCCCCTTTGTAGTCAACCCCTCTCCCTGCTCAGCCCTTGTCAATCGGTGATCTGCTTTACGTCCCTATAATGTGCCTTTGCAAGAGTCATGTAAATGGATTCATGAAGTCTGTAGTTTTTTTTAATCTGATGTTTTAGCATAATGCATATAAGATTCATACATGTTGTTGTGTGTGTCAGGAGTGTTTCTTTTCATTGCTGAGCAGCGTTCCATTTTATGAATACTTCATAGTTTGCTTATCCATTCCCCATTTCAGGGACATTTTTGTTTTGGGTTCTGGCAATCACGAATAAAGCCACTATAAGCATTTGTATACAGGTTTTTGTACGAACGTAGGTTTTCATTTTTCTGGGGTTAATATCTAGGAGTGGAGTTGCAAGGTGTTATGTCTATAAGGAACTCCCAACTGTTTTCCAAAGTGGCTGTATCATTTTACATTCCCACCGGCAATGTGCGAGAGTTCCAGGTGCTCCGCGTCTTCATCAGACCTTGATATCATTGGTTTGGGTGCCCTACTTGTAAACCACACTGAAGAGTTTGAACACAATCCCAGAAACAAATAGGAGAACTGCTGAAGGATTGTAAGAAGAGTGGCATGATGGGGTCTGTGTTTCATGGAAATTGTTTCCTCATCAGGGAGATAAAAACCAAGCTTCTTGTCAGTAGCTTCAGAATCACTAGAACAAGAGGATCTCCTGGAAGCTCTGTTAAATTTTTTTGAGGCTGACTTAGTTGTGTAACTCACAATACAGCACAAAGAAAGGAATAAGGTTTTGTTAGTGGTATAGGCTGAATTGTGTGTCTCCCCCCCGCCAAATTCATATGCTGAAGCTCTACCCCTAGCTCCTCAAATGTGACTATATTTGGCCTTTAAAGAGGTGATTAAGGTTAAATGAGGTCATTAGGGTGAGCCCTAATCCAATGTGACTTGTGTTCTTATAAGAAGAGGAAGAGACACCACCCATGCATGTGCACAGAGAAAAGGCTGCATGAGGACACAGGAAGAAGGTGGCCATCTACAAGCCAAGGAGAGAGACCTCAGGAGAAACCAACCCTGCTGACACCTTCATCTGGGACTTCAGCCTCCAGAATTGAGGGAAAATGGATGTATGCTGTTTAGGCCACCCTGTCTGTGGTGGTTTATTATGGCAGCCCTAGAAGACTAACACAGGTAACACGTTTTCCAGATAACTGAAATCTATTCCTTCAAGTGTAAAAACTTTGAAAATGTCTAATCACTTTGGAGGGACATATTTCTAAGCTAGATCTCTAAGTGGCAATATACTGGGCATGTTTTAACCCCCTGTTGATACCATCAGGCCTTACCTCCGTTTTACATCGGGTTGTAATGTGGCACTGCCATGCCTTCAGGCACGTAAGAACACAGAACTATCTGCTAATTCCCCAGCTGTCCCAGCATGCTAGGCTTGCTTCATGTTTTCAGAGTTTGTTTCTATTTTGTCTTGTTCTATTCCTACTCTGTCAGTCTGTGATTTCCTTCTACTTTTCATGGACTTACCTCAAAGTCTTCTTCATTCTTCCAAAAGGTGGTTCTATCAACTGTGAGTTGGACACCCGATAACCAAGTATGTTGGAATTTGATTTAAAAATTCATGAATTTTTGTGAACAAACTTTGTGATGTTTCGTTTCACTCCTCAGAGACACTTGAACTTCCTTCTTAGGTTTTGGCAGCATCACAGATAGCCGGGGTGGCCATCTGAATGACTGCCAGGTAAGTGAGATGTTGCTGTTTTGGCCAGAATGATGGGGAGTCCTCCATAGATGTGACAGTTACCCAGGGGTCTGGAATGTGAGGGTCATTCATACCTTCCACCTGTGTTCCATCTGCCTCCTCAGAGAGTCTCTGATGCTTCTGCATAGGCTGGCTGCTCCGGGGCATGGCTGTCAGGAAGGCTTCCCTTCTGGCCTCCCAGCCTGGCTGGCATCCTGCTGAATCTGTAACTCTCATGGGAGACAGATGCAATGCATCTTCCTACATCTCTGTAAAGATCCGGAAAGATACACAGATTTGTTAGAATTCATTCAGAACCATCACACAGACTGGCAAGGCAGTTTGTTAAATGTCAAAAAAAAAAAATCTCAAGGGCCAAAAGAGAAGCTGAGCAAATCGGCCCATGAGACAGAAGCCACTGGCACCAGTTCTGATTTGGCACTGGTTCCCATAGGGGCAGGGGACATGTTGGTCCCTAAGGGGAATGCTCAGTGCCTGTGATTTTATTTAAATGAAGTATTCCTCCCTCCTGGCCAACTGAGCACAGCTGCACTGGGGACCCTGAGTATTTGCTAACCTCTGTACAAGCCGCTTTACGGATTCCTAAGCACAGTCACAGTGCCGCAGGGAAGGATAAAGTGGACAGGCCACCCCCCAGCATTCTCCACTGCTACCTCCAGAACCACAAATCTCTCTATCCCCATGTCTTTCCCATGAGATTTTACACCAGACACCCTTACTCTGTCAGCAGATATAGAGAAAAGACATGCTTCAGGTTTATTTTATAAATATATTATGGCCCAGATAAGCCAATTAACCATTGAAGACAGGATTTTTAACTGAAAAATGCAGGTACCAAGTAATAGAGAAAACAAACAATCCCTCCCCTAACAGGTCCCCACCATCCCCTAGGAGCCCTCCTTAGGCCCTATTGCTCCTCCCTACTGGGACACTGATTCACAGGACTGTCATTGGGAGTAACAAGATGGGGTTTTGTGATCTTGAGACTATCAAAGGACTTTCTTGGGCCTGCCGAGTGGCTCAGCTGGTTAAGAGCTCACTTGGGATGCCAGTTCTGAGCAGCAGGGCCACGGTTCAGATCCCACATTGAGGGCTAGTGACGCTGTGCCCTCTACAGCTAAGATGATGAACAACAGCTCGACCTGGAGCAGGGCTGCTGTGAGTCGCCAGCATCGGCATAGGCTGCTGTGAGCTACGTGAGTGGCTGGTAGCCAGCATGAGCTCCCAGCAGCAGGTGTGAGCTGCCGGGAGCCACCATGAGCAGCTGTCCAATGGCTGATTTGCCTCACCCAGGAAGAGCGCAATGATCATACCAACGTGGGCCAGTAAAGCGACGTCCTCTACAACTAGACTGAAGAACAAAAACAGCAATTTGTCTACCTGTCTGTTCCCCTTCCCCGATTCCCCAACGCTGTTCCCCTCCCCCCAACTCCCCAATAAAATATTTAAAGAAAGAACTTTCTTAGGGTTTCAAGCTCCTCAGAAATAATGTGAGGAGGTTGGACTATTGAGGAGTCTGTTTTTCATCAATATTTATTCCGTAAATATTGAGCACCTACTATATGCAAGGCACTGAGCTGAGTACCATGGGAGAGGTTAATAAGATGAGTCAGACAGAAACCCTGCCTCCCAAAGCCAGCTGTTTCAAGTTTAGTAGGGGACAGAGAACGACACATAACTGCCTAGACAGCAAGATAAAAAATGGCAAATGTGGTGGTGGATTCAAGATGGCTGACAGTTCTTTCCCACTAGACATGCGGTTGTGTTCTCCTTCCCATCCTGAATCCAACCGGCCCTGTGGCTTGTCTGGACTAATAGAATGAGTGACAGTGAAGCCACATGACTTCTGAGCTGGCCCTCAAGGTATCTACACCTTCTGCTTTTGCTGCTTGGAATGTTCCCTCTTAAAAACCATGAAAGCAGTTCAACTTCCCTGAGACTGCTATGCTATAAGGAAGCCCAAGTTAGCCACGTGGTGGAAATACACACTGAAGTATTTAGACGTTTAGGGGCCAAATACGTGTAACTAACTCTCCAATACTTTAGAAAAAATAGTCTCTCATTTATATAATAGATAATATAATACCTAAATAATAAAGCAAATGTAGCAAAATGTTAACAATAGGTGAATCTGGACATAAGGGTGTTTTGTGTACTGTTCTCATCCTTGCAACTTTTCTATGTATTTGAAATTACATATTTTCAAGTTAAAGTCCCCCCGAAATAAATTCTGATATAGACATATTTATCCTTGTAGATAAATAGTTATATTTACCTTGTGTTTACCTATAGATAACAGTGGCTCAGAGAAGCCATTTGGCCCTGTTGGGCTCCTGAGTTTCCACTAATAAAAAGGAAGCCACCACATCTGCCCAAGCCCACTCCGTAACCCAGTGTAAAAGTTGACACACTCACCCGCATTGGTTAACTTGAGTTAGAGAGCAATGCCAAAGGGATGCAATTGTGAGCTTTGTGTTCCATGTATGTTGGTCTTGGCTCCTCTGTTAGATGTTAAACCCCGACAGAGTAGGGACCAGGCCACTGGTAATACAACATTCATTCATTTAAACAATCATTCATTCACATATTCACGTAATTTCATCCAATATTTAGTGGATGATTACTCTGATCATCAGCCTGGCTTGTCTCTCGCCTATTAATTGGAATAATTTCAGACATAAAGTGCATACTCAAGATGCTAATTTTCATGGCCCTAACTCTGACCAGCAGTGCGGCCACTGGGGGAAAGGGGTGAGGGTATTCCTGATGACTATCAGTTGCTGCCTGTCCCCAGATATGGAAAAGCAAACCCCAGCATTTGCTCTTCAGATGAAGGAGACTGGCCTCATTTTTTCTTTGCACTCTCATATGGTAGAACCACTGAATACTGCTGGTTTAAGCAAAAAAGCCTACATGTCCTCTAACCCCCACCCTCATCTTCATGGTCCATAATGGTTCTATGTCAAGTGTTTACCAGATAGAGCAGCGTTTACCAGAAAGAAATGGGAGTCACTGTTTCCCCTGTGCTGTATCATAATTCATGATTTAGCAAGGGGTGGTATTATTGAATATCTTAATTTGAATTTTATGACTTCTATAGCTCCCATTTTGTATAATTTTCATGGGAAGAGTCCTGATCCGGGCGATCCTCCATAACCTTCTTATTCTGAGATTTTTCAGCCTATTTTCTAAGTAGCAGGGACTTGTCTAGAGCAATCAGAGACGACCTTAATTAGAATCTAGATCTTCTAACATCTCCCTGCTGGTTAGTGCTACTTTCAGAAAAAGACTGCTCTAAGCGAGGCTGCAGGCTACCGTGTGTGCTTGAAGGAGAGTGAGAAAAGATGATATTCATATGATTGAAAGAGGCTTAGAGCTAGGATTCCCTTTGCTTTCAAGTGTTCCGGGTGTTTAAGCACCTTCGGTCCAGGCAGGAAAGAATTAGACAGCTCAGTAATCTCACCTCCTGTTGTTCCCATTTTCCTGCCCTCTGCTCCCCTCCTCCCACACTGATGCCTTTGGTCCAGGGGAGAAAGGAGAGGCTGAGGAATGGAGAAGAAAAAGCAGATTGGGGATAGGATGACTGTAGAGACGAGAAAGCTGATTAGCTCTCCCTCCCCCACTCCACTCTGCCCCTGAAAAACAGCTACTGTTTCTTTAACTTAACTCTAACCTCCCTGACAAGGGTGGGAAAGCAGTCCACACAGCAAAGCTGCCATTAGCATTAGCATTTGCCCTTCGAAGCAAAGATGGGAAAACAAGAATTAAGTGGGGAAAGCACTGTTTATTTTCTTTTCCCTTCAACTCTGGAGGGGAGAACTCATGTAAGTATACAAGAAATTAAAAAAACAAAAAACCCACAAAACTGTCAATATACTGTACTATTAGATGCCTGCCCTAAAAAATTATGTAAAATAAACCTGATCTGAAGGGGTGATACAATGAACCAGAAATACTGCCATAAAAGAAAAATGGACAGAAGAGAATATTGAAAATGCTAACTTGCCTAAAAACTCTGCTTATGCAACACACATCACCTACAAAATACCATCTGGTGAGCTATGAAGTCAGCTTTAAGCAAGTACAATGGCTATCATTTACATTTTAATTATTATATTTTATGGGGCTGTTAAATTTTATTGAAATACACATTTGTTTACCCAAATTTCTCTTTGCCATATGGCGCAATAATTGGGTCTGTCTCATAAGCTTTATGGGGTCAGGATGAAGAATAATGGTTTTCCATAATAACATGTTATTCCAGGAAAATGATGTCCCAGCCATAACCCATAGCTGAGGTCCAGTCCAGCTTTGGGAGCAGGCCTTGAGTACTCAAAATGTCATTTGAATTGTCTTGCACTGCCACTCTCAAATTATGGGAAATGGACAAAACATATAGCAAAGTCACTCCTTATGTCTGGGGAGGGAAGGGCTACCTCTGAGGTTTACCCATTCCTGAAATCAGAGCATTTTACTTTAGCATAGTAATAAAAAGATTAGCTTCCTTCTGAAATGGCAGATTTTGTGGTGAGATAGAAGGTTCCTTCTACCATGCAAGGAAGAGGAGCCTTTTTAATAAATCCAGTATTCCCTCTTTCCATTTAGAAATTCTCTCCTGGTGAGTCTCCAAATTGGTCTGAAGGCTAAAGGGGTTCTCAGAAGTTACCAGCTCCGGGGGTTCTCCATGGCTATCTTATTTCACCATCCAGATCTGGTGCTGTCTGAGAGCAGAGAAGGGGCAGAGAGGCCTTCGCAGTTTCACGGGGAGGGCAAATGTCCCTTTCCTGTGTTAACGCAGAATGAAAGTTGCCACACACAATGGCAAGTGGTCGGGGCTCAAAACCACGCTCAGAACAAGTGTCAAAGGCCCACCTCCCTCTGATTTTCTCCAGAACCAGGCTGGGATGCATTCCCCTTGTCATCCCAGGACCACCCCAGATTGCTGGAATAGACTGAGCCCTTCAGGACACCAGGGGTCAAGGGCCAGAGTGGGTGACGGGCTGGAGTGAGCCATCGCGGGCCAAGGGTTAGGAGGTGGAAGGCGAGAAGGTACACCAACACCATTTCTAGTCCTGGCTGCACAGATGCGGCTCCACCATGCAGAGCTGGGCAGGAAATGGCTATGCCTCAAGAATGACCGGACCCAACGGAGCCACAGGGATGCCCCTGAGCCCCTGGCCAGGCCAAAATCCCAAGGGTCCACTTCTCCTCCTCTGCCTTTTTTATAGTGCGTCTAGGGGTGATGGTGATGGTGACGGTGATGACAATGACAAAAAACGGCATCTTTATTATTCTGTCTCCTATTCAGTCACATGGCACACGTTGCCTCATGGTGAAGGAGGCAGGTTGGGTGGTTGTGCTTATGTCAGAGATGAAGAATCAAAACTCAGAACATTTACGTGACTTCTCAATCTCACAGCAACAAAGTCAGGATTCAAATTATTCGGAGTACGTATCTCCAAATCCTATGTTCTTTACTACACCAAGTTTTCATCCTAAAATCACCCGAGAAAAACCTGATAGGAGAAAAGAGGGCTGGCCTTTAAGGAATGTCTAGCCATAATTCGGAATGGTGTATTTTGTCTGCCAACGGCTGGATTTTCCAAGTAAAATCATACCTCTTACAGTCTTCTGTTTAGAATTTCTTATTTGACAAGTTCAAGGTTGCCTGGAAACGACCAGAAGAAATGAAAAACCAATGTCACATATTTTAAATCCAAAATTTAATTGAATCTTTTATTCAGAGAAGAATTGTGATTTTAAAAGCCTATTTATATTTATATAGCCTTCAGAGAGGTAGCCTCCTTTCACTTTAATAAACCTTATTTGAAATGACTGTAAATTTACAAATGCCTTAGAAATCTTGTTAATGCCAATAACACTTTCTATTAATCAGACAGTGCTGGGCACTGGGAAGGGGATATAAAGTGTACTGCTTACCCTCACTATGCTTATTATCGGGGTCGGTGGTATAATCACCAAAGGAGAGGTGAGTGGATGAATGAAGTTCAGAAAGGGAAGGAAGGGTGTGAGTGGGGATGAGCAGGATGCAACGCTGAGCCTGGGAGGC